TTTTGGATGTGGTTTATAATGCCTCAAACAATGAGTTTGTTAGGAACTAGACACTGATTAAGGGTGCAATTGTTCAATTGTTTCAAGGTCTAGCCAGTGTGGCTGTGCTGATGCTTACATTTTGGAGGACAAGGAGCTAGCTGAGTTGTATATGAAGAAACTTCAGAAGAAGAAGAAGGGAAAGGTTGCTGATGGTTCAGCTTAAATTATATTCATTCAATTTTGTCATTGTCCAGGGAATGCAGAAATAAAAACGTTTTCGTTGTTACTCCTTTTTACTTATATATTGCTGTCAACAATGTTTTGTTTGAAAATTGACATTGCCACAAACTATCAGTTTAAAACTGTCCTAAACATTATGTTGAGAGGTGTTGACTTGTCCTATTATGTTGTCTCAGAACTCGGAGGACAAACAATAATTTTGAAAAATACAATGATATCTAAAAAGCAAAACAAAAAACACTTGAGGATGGAACCATACGACATACCATTGCACAAATAAAATGAAGGAAAGTCACTTCCCCCAGTGCTTGCATATACCGTGCACCAATCTATGTCTCAGAAACAACTTATATTGATGTTTGTTGTGCAGAAAATCAATTGATACTATGTGACTTCTCTGAGCAGAAATATCATAAAGAAGCCCCTGCAACAATAAATAACCATAGAAGAACTAAAGTCATCAACATGGAGATAAGCACTCTTTAGAACAACTAACCAACCATAGAAGAAGGGAATGGAGAGAAATTCTTAACAGAGAAACTATGGAAATGTCTGCGAAGTTGAGAAGTCAAGAAGGGAAAATATTATAAATTGGATAATAAGAAAAGCAAGCCTAAAGAGTGAAAAAGAAGATATTGGTAGATGGTTATGATATATTAAAAGCAAGCCAGGTGGTAGTCACCCACATGAACGGGACGACTGAGACCCGGGAAGAGAGGATGAAGATGTACAAAGAATTGGCGGAGGAGCAGACCGCGCAGTTCGAGCAGGTGATCATCGACCTGGTATCTCGGGTGGAGAATGCCGAGGCCGATATACTATCCAAACTCGGCAATCCTCCAACAGATGACCTGGCGACGCTCGTCCCCCAGCATATCAGGGGGTTCGTAAGGCAGGAGACGCTCCTACAGCCAGCTACAAAGACGATCTTAGTGGAGGCTGTTTCCTTTGCGGAACCTACTTGGTTGAATGAAATCGCAGATTACCTAAAGGATGGGACTCTCCCCGAGCCCCCGACTGATGGCAACACCGGAAAAGCGGCCTGGATCAAAAGAAGGACTCCCAACTTCAAGCTCATCGATGGACAACTCTACAAGAAGACGTTCAGCGGGCCTTACTTGAGATGTCTCACACTGACCCTAGCGGCTGCAGTCCTGGAGGAGATTCACGAAGGAATCTGCTCGAGTCATCAAGGGCCGCGGACCCTAGCCCGGAAGATCATCCTGCAAGGATATTACTGGCCCACCATACAACAAAACTGTTTCAACCACACTCAGAAGTGTGCAGGGACGCCCGACAAGCTTCTATACCCCGATGACCATTGCCTTAGCCTTTGCCAGATGGGGGATAGACTTGTTGGGCCCTCTACCCAAGACGACCGGCGGGCGCAAATTCATCATCGTGGCCATCGACTATTTCACAAAGTGGGTGGAAGCCGAGCCACTAACCACAATAACAGAATATCAGTGCCAGTGCTTCGTGTGGCAGAACGTCATATGCCGATTCGGGATTCCAGAGCAGATTATCAGAGACAACAGGCGGCAGTTCGTCGGAAAGGGATTCGAGTAATACCTAACAAAGTGGGGGATTAGGCACTCCAAAGCTTCGGTCGCCTACCCCCAGGCCAACGGACAGGTGGAGAACATGAATCGCACCATTATGGATGGCATAAAGAAGAAACTAGAAGATTACTCATCCACCTGGCCAGAACAACTCGACTACGTCCTATGAACTTACCGAACAACCCCAAGAACTGCTACGGGGGAGACGCCCATCGCCTTGGCCTATGGGTTCCAAGCCAAGGTACCCACAGAAGTGATGGTGCCCACTCACAGCACAAAGTATTTCCAACCAGAAGACAACGAAGCAACCCTACGGGCTGAACTCCACTTCATCGAGGAACGCAGGGACCTGGCAGCTCGTCGCATGGAAGAATACCACCGAACCACGCAGAGATATTTCAATAAGGCGGTGAAAGTTCGCGAAATTAGCACTGGCGACCTCGTCCTACGAAAAAGGGAGAAGAACAAACCGCTTCAAGGCGGAAAGATGGCCAAAAATTGGGAAGGACCGTACAGGGTCCAGCGGCGGTACAAACACGAGACGTTCACCCTCTCGACCTTAGAGGGTCAACCCGCTGGGACATGGAACGTAGATCATCTGAAGAAGTTCTACCAATAAGCTAATGAAAATTCCCACCTAAAAATCAGGGGGGGGGAGGGGGGGGGGGAGAGACATAACTTTCAAACTTCGGGAATCCCAGTGGGATAAACCGGCTCCGTGCTGAAATCTGTCCGAGTACCGAACGTACACCGATTAGCGGACCTACGAAGGATCATGATATTCATGTAATTTCCGATTGTATGTTTGTATTTTTAACTAGTTTTTATTAGTTCTAGTTGTAGAAATTACACACTTTTGGTGTAATATTTTATTTTCATTTTTATTTGTAATTTGTTTAGATTAGGATTATTCTGAGCTAAACAGGTCAAAGATCATCCAAGGGATCAAGATTGGACCTTAAAAGATCAAGGAAAGTGCAAGGAGACAAGAAAGATTTCGATTTGGAAAAAATACTCATGTGCTCGGTCGGGTATTGCCTATACCCGGTCGGGTATTCACTTGATTCGATTGTCCAAATCAAATCCGGGAACAAATGATCGTGGGAGCAAATTTTCGTGAAGATTTGTCACATACCCGATCGGGTATGCCGACATACCCGATCGGGTATGCCCAGAAAAGTGACTTTCTGGGCAATTTCCTAAGATACCCGATCGGGTATCCTATATACCCGATCAGGTATCAGACCCTGCAGCTCTCAAAAGCCTATAAATACACCCCTTTCCTTCACAATAAAATCACCAATTCCTATCCACTTCTAAGCTCAGTTTAGTTAAGTACTTTCTTTATATTTTTATCATGTTTAGTCTCCAAATAAGGAGCTAAACTCTTCCATCTTGGTTTTGCTACTTTGAAGCTTAATGAATTTGTAAGTTGTGAGTTATTCTCTTTAATCTTCTTCCTTGAATATTAATTCTTCCTTTAAATACTATTTCTATATCAATGTTGGGGAGTGTTACTAAGATGACAATTAGTTAACATCTTGACATTAATTATAGTAATAGTTATTTCTTCCTCTATGTTGATATTGGGGAGTGTTACTAAGATGACAATTAGTTAACATCTTGATATTAATTATAGTAGGATTCATCTTCTTTAATATTCTTCCTTGAGTATTAATTAATTCCAATTCATATTTCATATTAATATTTTGAGCATTACTTAAAGGATCAACTAGCTTTGTTTCATATATTAATTATTACTAGAATCGATCGACGAATACGCTTGTTAATCGTTCGATCGTTTCACGGTAGTAAACTTGGGTTATTAATGCATGTGTTTCATGGTTAATAAACCAAGGGGAATTAATTATGTTGATTAAACCAATAAACCGCTTGTGTTGAGGTTATCAATCTCAATCGTTTTCATCTTGATTTTATTGCTACTATCGGGTTAATATACGGCGCGTGTTCTATATTGACTCGGTAGTAAGTTTTATTAATGAACGCGTCTCGTTATTAATAACTACCCTCGATGAATTGGATATATTCCTCGATTGAGTATTCGAGAGGAAGATAGTTAAAGATATAACCGGGATCGACGGACATTTCATTAAGTGGATAAAAGCAAAGCCAAGTCCTCATCTCTATTAATTAAACTCATTTAAGTCGTTCATCTTCGTATTTAATTAATTAAAATCAAACACATCTAAAAACCCCTTGTTACTATTTAATTAAAAAGAGAAGTATTCCTTTCCCTGTGGATACGAACCTTACTTCGTTATACTACGTATAATTGTTGTATTGATAATTATTTTGAGTGCACACCACGACAAAGTGCACGTCAGATCACAGATAAGGTAGTGGGGCGAAACACTCGGGAACTCCAATGGAGTAAACCGGCTCCGTGTTGAAACCTGTCTGAGCGCCGAAGGCATCCCCGGCTAGCGGGACGTGCGTACGGTCGTAGGTAAGGTAGTGGGGCGAAGCCTTCGGGAATCCCACTAGGGTAAACCGGCTCCGTGCTGAAATCCGTCCGAGTACCGAACGTACACCGATTAGAGGACGTACGAAGGACCACCAATAAGGTAGTGGTGCGAAACTTTCGGGAACTCCAACAAAAGCAAACCGGTTCCGCGCTGAAATCTGCCTGAGAGCTGAAGGCATAACCGGTTAGCGGGACGTTATACTACGTATAATTGTTGTATTGATAATTATTTTGAGTGCACACCACGACAACGTGCACGTCGGATCACAGATAAGGTAGTGGGGCGAAACACTCGGGAACTCCAATGGAGTAAACCGGCTCCGTGCTGAAACCTGTCTTAGCGCCGAAGGCATCCCCGGCTAGCGGGATGTGCATACGGTCGTAGGTAAGGTAGTGGAGCGAAGCCTTCGGGAATCCTACTGGGGTAAACCGGCTCCGTGCTGAAATCTGTCCGAGTACCGAACGTACACCGATTAGCGGACGTACGAAGGACCACCAATAAGGTAGTGGTGCGAAACTTTCGGGAACTCCAACAAAAGCAAACCGGTTCCGCGCTGAAATCTATATGAGAGCCAAAGGCATAACCGGTTAGCACGACGTGCGTACGGCCGCATATGAGGTTGTGGGACGAAACAATTGGTCCAAGCATACGTCACCAAAAAAGGGGACGTACGCAGAACCTCCAAAAAAAAGGGAGGGATGGTACCATGCCAAACACAAGGGGAGCAAAGGAAAAATCGATCTTTATTCTTCAGCTCTTTCGGCTGGAAAAATACAGAACACAAATGTAAAGAATGACAAAATTGATACAAGTGCTAAGCGACAAGCGGAGCATCAGGCCTGATCGACGTCTGGAGTTGGTACCTTGAAAGGAACCTGCACCGCTATTTCCTTGGCCTCGGCCTCCGCGCGATCCTTACGCTCTTGAAGTAGCGCAAGGGCCCCCATGTAGGCATCCACCATCAGCGAGTCAAACCCAGCCGCCGCAGGATCAAACGGAGCTCCAAAGTGACGCTCAAAGACCGGGAGATTCTCAGCCACAAGGCCGATCATACCTTTAAAGTAGGTGTCTTCGGCAAGATCGTTGAGGAAGCGCTCTCCGGTAGGGGTGGCCTGTAACAATTTGATGCGATTCAGATAAGGATATGGGCAAACAGCTAGATACTCCCCGACGAACTTGGGAAAGAGCTTCCTGACCATGACCTGTACGGCACCAGTATAATCCTTGGACTGCTGGAATTCGATGGACCCAGACTCCTTGATCTTTGAGACATCAGCCTCATAGATCGGAACATGATTGTCTGCACCAGTGCGACGAACCTCAATCCTGGCGTGGGAAACAGCCCACATACGGCTATGCAGGTCCACAAGCTCGGCCTTCTGCTTCCTGATGAGCTCTTTTTGGGAGGCATTCTCCTGGACGAGCTTATCATGTGCCTCAGCCTTCTCTTGAAGGGACCCAACCTTACCCCGAGCATTCTTCAGCAGGGCATCGCACTCAGCCCGCAGGGCGGCCATATCCCTCCCCTGCTGCTCGAAGGCCATCCGGGCTCTATGAAAATAAAGGCCAGCCTTGTCTAAAGTGCTTTGGCCACACTCAAGAAGATCTTCTGGGGTCTTCTGAGCGGCAAAGTCTTGAGGCACCTTGAGATTAAGCCCGCACCAAATGGAGGAGGCGGTCTGACCGAATAGCATCATGGACTCCTTGCGAGGGCCGAACCCAGAGAATTCAATAAGGCCAAGGGAGGACCTGCTGGCCTCTGGAGGTGAAGAAGAGCGGATATCATGAGCACCTTCATCCCTAAGACGATGAACGTTTGAATTCTTTGGCGGAGATGGAGGGGGTTTGCTCTTAGAAAGTTAGAAGCTTGTTTCCGCTTAAGAGGGCTCCCAGGCTCCTCATCAGAATCATCAGCTACAATAATGGCCTTGGAGGCCGTTCCCACATGACATGATCTTTTTTAAAAGGGGCCAAGATTTGAAGCACCCTCGGTCCGGGACCTCGTCACCCGGAGCTCGACCTTGGGGACGAGCGGCCTCCTCTCCTTATCTTGATTCTTTCCTTGACGGCCAGGGATAATGGGGATATTATTGGAACGTCCCATGGAGGAAGGATGCGGAAAAACTCCTGCAGAAAAGGAACTAAGACGTTCAGAACCATTACAACGGAAAGATGATAGGACAATACAAGTACAAACGGACGCACCTAATCCTGCCCGAGCTACGAAAGGCTCGGCCACCAGCAACCGGAGGTTCTGGATGCCAAGGCCGGCTATACGCTTGGCATATCCGAGCTCCTCGTCCGTCATAGGCGGCGGGCCGGACTTCACCGGATAAGCATTCCATCTATCAGAAAATGGCATCGGGGAGCCTATTTCAGCGAGGAAGAACCGCTCCTGCCAGCCGTCCGGATTCCCAGCGTTATTCGCGAACAGGACCATGGGCGGGCGGGTGACCAGGGTAAGATACCCCGTACGCCCATACGGGGACAACCGGAAGAAATGATACAACAGATCCACAATGGGGGCCAGGCTGAAATGGAAATTGAAACATTTATATAAGACGTCCAAAAAAGAAAAGTGAGAAAATTACAACGAGATCGGAGGGAATAACATAAACTTGTGTAGGCCCTCTAGGGGAAATCCAAATAATGAATATTACTAGAAGTTGAAAACTTGAAATATGTCTATATTCAAAATGTATAGATTTATCTAAAAGACTAAGAGCCCGTTTGGTGATACCATTTTTTGGCTTATCAACTTATCAACCAACTTTTTCACCAAACACATAAATTTTGATTTCACGTGCTGAATTGTGTAATTTTCTTGTTGTATTGGTTGAAGTTACTATAGATAATCATTTTACCTATTTTTCATATATATTTTTCTTTAATATACTAATAAAAAAGATTGGAAATATAATTTTTTAATAAATCATCGGCATAATTAGCCAATCCAACCACTTCGACCAGACTTTCTTAAAATTCAGCAGAATCAGCCGATCCGGCCAATTTCATTGTTACCAAATAGGCTCTAAATGAAATTTTGAATGAAATTTTATGTTCATAAAATAGCTCCCACTTTGGATATTGATGATATCCCATGTTTAAAAATTGACTATGTACAACCACAGCTATTTTAATTTGGATGGGATCATGGGAGGTGACAGACTATTAAATACCGAGTATTTAGAAAAAAAGGTATTCATGTATGTGTATCTGTTGGTTGGAGCCTTATGTATTTCGTATGCCAGAAGTCACTGGTCAGAACCACTGTTTTTCGTAAACTTAGAAACTCTATAAAATTCCCCGTAAATATGCCATGCAAACCCCAAACTCCCGTCCTTGTAAAACACCGTATTCAATTCCTAGGGTTCCCGCACGAAAAGAATGGTGGTTTCGAGCGGTGGTCGAGGTTTCCGTGGCGGCGGAGGTGAGGATTATCATTCTATATATAATTATCATTTTTTTTCGTGCTGATCAAACTGTGAAGTCTTCTTGAGTCTTTCATTTTGTTAATTTCATTGATGATGTTTAGCATGATTTTTGCAGGGGGGCATTACTCCTCATCTCGTTCCAAAAGTAAGTCTTCTTGAGTCTCTATAGTCACCCAGACAAACGTTTACCTTTTGCAATTACTCCCTCCGTCCCGTTGGAATGTTCCCGCTTTCCTTTTTTGGATGTCCCAAAAAGAAGTTCCCATTTCCCTAAACGGAAAGTTATCCTACATCAAAACAGTGTCAAACAGTGCCAAACAGTGTCCAAACAGTGTCAAAACAATAAAATTTACCCCTGGTAAGTTTATTTCCTTAATATGTGTGTAGGTCAAACCGGGAACATTCCAACAGGAGGGAGGGAGTATAATTTATGCAATCAAGCTGATAGGCTTTGTTCCCCTGCTTGGTAAATTTACTTGCATTACAGTTCATTTTCTTTCATTGATTCTCTTAAATAGGCGATTCTTTTGTAAGATATGCTGCAGCTGGCAAGGGATTTAGCTTTGGCTCTGGTTTTTCCTCAAACTTGTCACCTGACGAGCTTGAAAGTAAAATTCGTCGTTGCGCGGGCCTCATAGAGTATTATGAAAGGGTAATGATGATTGCCTTAAACCTAAGATGCATGGGATTTAGCTTTGGGTCTGGTTTTTCCTAGTTAGTACTATCTCCGTTCTCTTTTAGTTGCAACATTGAACTTTTTGCACTATTCACATGTTCTATTTTGACTACATTTTATTAATTGATGTATAATAAATTAAATTTTTAAAAAATATTGTTAAATTCTTCTCATTCTAAATTTTCAAAATATGATTTTTTTAATTTTTTTACTAATAACGAATAAAAGATCAGGGTTTTAAATAGCGGCCCGCTACCACTATAGCGGCCACTATATAGCGGTCGCGGTAGGGGCCGCTACCGCTACGGCCCGCTATTCCGCTGTGAATTCCAAATCACGGGAAAAGCCCGCTACAGCCCGCTACATGCAATGACCCGCTATTGACATTTCCGGCAGTACGTCACGAGCGGGTTGATGTGTAAATGTGTCTATGTTGTGTAAATGAACTCTTAATGTTATAAGTGTTCAAACAAATATTCACAATGTTTGTATTAACTTCAACACTCATTAAATATATGTTTTGCGCAATTGAAAATATTTCACGCCGCTGCAATCGCTACAGTCGGCTATAGGCCGCTACCGCGATGACCATTACCGCTACGGCTATTTAAAACCTTGTAAACGATATTGATGGTCAAACTTGTGCATTGACAAACGTGAAATGTTGACTGTTGCAATTAAAAAGGAACGAAGGGAGTACTTGTTTCGATGTGATTTCTAGGAACTTTACCTTGTGGTCATGTTTAACTTCTTTAAGCCTCCCTTACTCCCTAGCTCTTTTCGTATTTGTACTTGTTCCGCCCCCTCCTTTTGTAACTCTTCCTTGCTTGAAAGTCACTCGGTCTGAGCTGTTGTGTCTTTTTTACTTCTTTAAAGAAATTGCGCTTTTGGTTAGAAACTTAGAAAAGAAAAAAAGTACTACGTAGTTCGATTGGGTTTCAGGCTGTTCCCTAGGTAAGATTTTCCATATGTGCAGGGATGGATTTAGGGGGGTTTCAGGCTGTTCCCTAGGTAAGATTTTCCATATGTGCAGGGATGGATTTAGGGGGGGCGCAGGGGGCGACCGGCGACCGCCCCCTTGGACATTCAATTTTTTTTTATCATATATGTAATATTTTCATAAAACTTTCATAATTTAATTAGATTCGCCCCCCTTAGCTTTTAATTTTCAAAATTAGTACTCCCTCCGGTTTTTATTAAACTTCACACTTTTCTTTTTGGGATGATCTAAAATAAACTTCACACTTCCTTATTTCCTTTTTTGGCAAAGAAATCTGCACCAAAACAGTGCCAAACAGTGCCAAACAGTGTCAAACAGTGTCTCAACAGTGCCAAACAGTGCCAAACAGTAACTCCACAGTGTACTCTACAGTAAAGTCAAATTTCTTTTCTTAATTTGTGTGAAGTCAAACTGTGAAGATTAAAAAAAACCGGAGGGAGTATATAGTCTTACATAATGTAATACTTAATTGGAGATTTAAAAGAAGAAACATCTAAAATAATTTACATAACTTAAACAAATAAACAATAGAGTAACTCGTTATTTAAGATTTAGGATACTTATTATATAAGAATTCCTAGTTTTGTAATGTTTAATTATCTTTATTAGATAACAAGTACTGGATTTCATAAAACATATATCAAACAATATTAAATACCAGACACACTAATTACACAATTTTTAGATCACGTGAAATGAATCCAAAATATAAATATTTATAGACATTAGATTACATAATGCATTTACTTCTTGCTTTCTAAAAATAATTTATTGCATGGATAATAAACTCTAAATTATTATAGAATTAATAAAAATATTAAAATATAATATGCACCATATATGTGTGTGTGTGGTGCATATTATTCTAAAAATAACAATCTCATACATACTAGTATACTTTTTTTTTTCTTTTTTTTTCATACATACTAGTATACTACTATTGTAATATTAAGAAAACTTCTCATGAGTCATGACTCACGAACACCCTCCTTGGTGGACAAAAATTACAATTCAATAACCGATTCATGAGGTTAAACAATGTAGAAGTTATTAAAAATGTATTGGTTGATGTCTTTGTCATCGTCTAAACTTAGAATGTAATAGATTTAAATGTCGTTCGGGATGTGCATGTATTAATGTCATTTTTTGAATAAAAATAGCCGTATAGCCCTACAATAGGGGAAACATTTCGCCCCGCTATACTAGGGACAAAAATTTCACCCCACTACACTAACAAAAAAAAATTCACCCCCTACACTAACGAAAAATTTCGCCCCCCTTGACTCAGAATCCTGGATCCGTCCCTCCATATGTGAATGCTTTGGATAGGTAAATTTCCGATTAAACTACACATCACAGGGGCAGTTTTCAAAGTCAAATGTCAGAAGTGTAATTAATCATCGTGTTTAGAACTTAGTTTATTATCCACAATGAGAGCCAGCTTTATCATTCCATTTTTTCTTTGAAGCAGAACACTTCCTTGTTTGACTTCATATCACAAGGGCAAACCATGAAGTCAAAAAGAAAAAAATGATTAATTAACAACCATGCAAGGAATTTTATTCAAGAACTAAAGGAGCATTTGATATCTAAATAGCTTCATATGATATCTGAAATTATTTTAGTTTGCTAGCTTAATAAACACTTGCCTCTCTTTACCCTCCTCTGATATTCTGTTTTAATCCCCTATATCCTTACAATGCGGACATACTAAATGCCTAAATCACTTTTTTTTTTTTTTTGCACACAAAATGAAAATTTTATTAATGAAGAAGTCAAGAAAAATACATGAAGGGAAAGTCAAAAGAAAAGAAGGGAAAAGGGAGAAAGAGTAGAGAAAAATAAAAACGAGAAAATAGCCCAACCCGAAGTACAAATAAGATCCCCTCCCAAGAACATCCTAAAACTTAGACACGAAGTCAATATTCCACCCGAGTTTGGGATCTAGTCTTCATATGATGAGACCGTTGATATTTTTTCCGGTACATCTTAATTTGAGTATTCAAATTCTCTGTGGGCAGACAGTTTTCTTTCGTAACCAATAGAGCTTTGTTGCAAATATCATCATTCGTATCGGAGTCCCAAAGGTCTTCCATCGATGAAATAGGAGTTCTCTTCTCACTCTCTGAAGCATGACCTAAAAAATCATCCCCGAGTGTGTACATAATGGTTCGTCAAATACCCCTTCACTCACAAAATCTTCAGAGTAATGGTTACCTGTGAAAACATCCCCCGAATTTGCACACATAGAAGTTTTCTTTTCTTCAGTAGACAATTTCTGATTTTGTAACGAGTCGGTAAGGATTATTCTGAATTCTTTGAGTAGAAAGTGCGAGAGAGAATCCACTCCGTTAGTCATAGCATTCTGAAAGAAATCTTTAATGATTGCTAAAGATGGGTCAAGCCCAGGATCAGATCTAGTTGTGTCCTCAATAGCAGTCACCTCCAAAGAGTTATTTAAAGAAACTGAGTGAATAATATCGACTTGTAGGAGTGCTTTCGAAATTGAAGAATCCATTTGACAAGTATGATGTCTATCCCCATCCAGTTTTTGTGTAAGGGGGTCCGCCCATGTGTTACCTGATAAACTCTCACATGTATCATGCCTAAATCACTTTTATAACAATTCTTTTTGCATTTTTGTATTTGAAAGTGAATGAAGTTCTATATATAAATATGTTTTCGTAAATTTAATGCCTTGTAAATATCAAGTGCTGCCTGTTTCACTGTTTCTTGATAGGTGATATATATACACTTCAGCATTCCTAATGTTTTGATTGGTAAAAATATTGCAGTGTGAGTTTTTTTTACCGGAGAGGTTTGAGTAATAGTTGTTGGGTTTTTCCTTTGTTTTTGACCCATGAGGAAAGCCCAAGTATTGAGCCCATTAAAGTCTTCTTTGACTTTGTGTGTTTGGGAGCTAATAATCAAAAAAATATGGGTCAGCCACTAACATACATTCGATGGACAGAAAGAGAGCAGTAGAAAAGAGAGCATAAGTCGAAAACATGAGCTGAGTGTGCTCATCCCGTTTTTCCGTTTCCCGGAGATTGAACCGTTGGATCGTCGTGATTTTTGGACAGCAGCTTCACAGCATCTGGGCCAACATTCTGGACGGTGGAGATCGGGTTTTGAGGTCCGGAGGTCGGATTTCGTTGGTCTGGACAGTAGCTAATTTTCTGGTGATATTTTTCTTATCTTGGCTCTATTTGATTCCATACACCTTGATGTGCTTACTTCCAAGGATATGATGAATGTGTATGCCTCTAGTATTATCTAGAGAAGACTTTGTACTGCTCCTTTGATGATGATAGTGGATTTAAGCGGCCAAAATGGTCCCGTGGTTTTTCCCTAGTTAACGGGTTTTCCACGCTAAAATTCCGGTGTTTGTGTGTGGTGTGTGCTTACTGTTTTAGCTGAATATATTGGTGTGTCGCAGCAACTTGTGTGTGTTCTAATTGCATTAAGAACACCCTATTTGTTTGCATCCTCAAAGATTCATTCAAGTTGGGGAAAGTTTAGCCAAACGGAGATTAATTCCATTTTATTAGTTCCGTTTGTGGCTGTTTTTCCCCATCAAATTGGTATCAGAGCCGGGTTCTTCTGTATTGGGTTAGACTTGTTTGAATGATGGAAGCAAACACAAGTAGGATGATCAATTTGAATGGTTCTAATTATCATGTTTGGAAAGGCAAAATGGAAGACCTACTTTATGTGAAGGATTATTATTTGCCTGTGTTTACTACTGATAAACCTGAGAGTAAAACAGATGCAGAGTGGAATATTTTGCATAGACAGGTTTGTGGGTATATTCGCCAATGGGTTGATGATAATGTTTTGAACCATATTAGCGGGGAAACTCATGCTCGCAGTTTGTGGAACAAGCTTGAACAGTTGTATGCTCGAAAGACCGGGAACAATAAATTGTTCTTAATAAAACAGATGATGAGCTTGAAATACCATGATGGAACTCCTGTTACTGATCATTTGAATTCTTTTCAGGGAATCATAAATCAACTTGCAGGAATGGGTATCAAGTTTGAAGATGAGATACAAGGCTTGTGGCTCCTTGGCACTTTACCGGACTCATGGGAGACTTTTAGGACATCATTGTCCAACTCTGCACCAGATGGTATTATCACCATGGAATTAGCTAAAGGCAGTGTTTTAAATGAAGAGATGAGAAGAAAGTCACAAGGTTCCTCTTCACATTCTGATGTCTTAGTTACAGAAAGCAGGGGGAGAAGTCAGAGTAGAGGTCCAGGTAACAAAGGGAAGCATCGAAGTAAATCCAAAGGAAAATTTGCTGATTTTGAGTGCTATCATTGTGGTAGAAAAGGCCACACAAAACGGTTCTGCAGGCAATTGAAAAAGGAGAAGAAGAAGAGCGATTATAACAATCAAAAGAACCATAAGAAAGATGAGGGTGGTAATGGCAATGTTGAAGTTAACACTACTACCGATGAGTTCCTTATTTGTTCTGATCTTGATATGGTCAACATTACACATGATGATTCCAGTTGGGTTGTTGATAGTGGTGCTACGTGTCATGTAACATCACAGAGGGATTTTTATTCATCTTACACTCCAGGTAACTTTGGTAATGTTAGGATGGGTAATAATGGACTATCAAAGATTGTAGGCATCGGAGATATTTGTTTGAAGTTTGACACTGGGATAGAGTTGGTTTTACATATTGTAAAACATGTTCCAGATATGAGACTTAATTTGATCTCCGCAGGCTTACTTGATGATGATGGTTACAGCAACAACTTTGGTAATGGAATATGGAAACTCACTCGTGGTTCTTTGATCGTGGCTAGAGGTAAAAGATGCTCAAAGTTGTACATGACACATCCGAAGATCTTCAAGGATAGGGTCAATGCTGTGGTGAATACTGACATGACTGATTTATGGCATAAGAGACTTGGTCACATGAGTGAAAAGGGGATGTCTCTTTTGTTGAAGAGAAATGTGTTACCGGGTGTGCATGATATTCATTTAAAGAAGTGTTCGCACTGTTTGGCAGGTAAACAGAACAGGGTTTCCTTTAAGAGCCATCCTCCTTCCAGGAAGGAGAGTATACTTGATCTGGTGCATTCTGATGTTTGTGGTCCTATGAAGACTAGGACACTTGGTGGTTGCTCCTACTTTGTCACATTCATTGATGATCACTCCAGAAAGGTTTGGGTTTATACCTTGAAATCTAAAGATCAAGTATTTGAGGTGTTTAAGCAGTTTCATGCCTCGGTTGAGAGACAGACTGGAAAGAAGCTCAAGTGTATTCGGACAGATAATGGAGGGGAATACATTGGACCCTTTGATGCTTATTGTAGAGACCATGGTATTCGACATCAAAAGAGTCCTCCCAAGACACCGCAGTTGAACGGATTAGCAGAGCGGATGAACAGAACTTTGATGGAGCGTGTCAGATGTTTGTTGTCGCATGCAGGGCTGCCAAATTCATTCTGGGGAGAAGCTTTGAATACAGCGGTACATGTTATTAATCTAACTCCTTGTGTTCCTTTGTCTTTTGATGTACCTGACAGGGTTTGGAGTGGCAAAGATGTTTCTTACCGTCATTTGAGGGTCTTTGGATGCAAAGCTTTTGTGCACATTCCTAAAGATGAAAGATCAAAGCTTGATGTGAAGTCCAAACCATGTGTTTCTTGGGTTATGGCCAAGATGAGTTTGGTTACAGATTATATGATCCAGTCCACAAGAAACTTATTCGAAGCCGAGATGTTGTGTTTGTGGAAGATCAGACCTTGAAAGATGTCGAGAAGAAAGATACAGTTCCTCAACATAATGATGATGTTACTGATTTGGATCCAGTGCCTCCTCAGCATGTAGAACCACCTCTTGATAATGATGTTCAGAATGATGAACAACATGATACTGATGCTCCAGAACAGCCAGAGGTGGATGAAGAATTTCATTCAGAGATACCAGTACCAGACGTGCCACCATTTATCCCACTTAGGCGGTCTACAAGAGATCGTCATCCTTCCACCCGTTTTTCACCTAATGAGTATGTCTTACTCACTGATGGGGGAGAGCCTGAGTGTTATGCAGAGGCCATGGAAGATGAGCACAAAAGGGAATGGGTTGAAGCCATGCAAGATGAGATGAATTCCTTACATGAAAATAATACATTTGAGTTGGTGAAGTTGCCTAAAGGCAAGAGAGCTTTGAAGAACAAGTGGGTCTACAAAGTGAAGACTGAAGAGCACACCTCACAACCTAGGTACAAGGCTAGATTGGTGGTCAAAGGGTTCAGTCAGAGAAAGGGTATTGATTTTGATGAGATTTTCTCTCCGGTCGTGAAGATGGGATCTATTCGTGTTGTTCTGGGTTTGCTCTAAAACGCCTTCAAAAAGATTGCGGTATGATTGTTGATATATTATGAAAATTGCTTTGTCGCCATAAGACATAATATGTTACGTTACAAGGTTTAGTTTATTAAACTAGTGAGTTAATTTATACAAATATATGATACCATCACTCAGAGTCCAGCCTTTTTCTTTCCCCACTTTTCTGGAACCGTAAGAGTTAGTGATGCAAGCAAGCTATATTGTTGCTCACAACTTCTATTCAGGTTTGCCTCAACGTACATATGATACTATCTCTCAAAGTAGACGTTTCTTTAAAATTCTTATATATAGAGTTGTCAAGGACATGCTCATTATTGGGAAAAATATTTGCCTTTGGTTTGTATACCACCATTCTACTCAGAGTTAGGGGAATAATCATTTAATATATCCACATTCATCATTCATGTGAGGATTTTTATGCAAATGCTTTTATTTTTTGCATGGCAATAAGGATGTTTGTACTTGGATTGATTTTAGTCACAGGACTTAAACAGACTAGACTAGATTTTGACAGTTATAAAACACACGCAGCCCGAACATTTACGAGACCAACTCAGACCAAACAAAACTAGACTTAAATAGACTAGACTAGAAATTTTCAATCCAATTAAAAGCATCTTAATTAAGTATATTGCAAAATTTAAGAAAAAAAGGATTGATTGAAGATATTGTTCCCTAAAGAATAAGAAAAGAGATTAGGTGGGAATGTGGGATGACACAAAATTTGGAACACATTTTTGTAACTACATTAGTGCTCCTGTTGGATTGACCATCATTAGATATGACGATAAAATTCTCATACAACTCTAATCTGAAACTCTAGAAACAACAACAAATAAGTGTTCATAATTAAAAGTTTAAAACTAAGAAGATAAAAGCTCTATGTCTAACAAGTAGCTTTAAACATCACTTTAAAAAATCACAATGCAGCAGGCGACAGGGCCAAGAACAAGCCAAGAATATTGCAGATTCATTCCGGGATAGTGAGCCCAATTATGCTGGAAAACAAAGTGGCTAAAAGAAAACATAAGTTGTAGGAAATTTTAATCTGTAATCTTAAGTGTTACAGATTGATCGGAGAACTTCTACGGAGACGGAGTATTTATTAGTTAGTACTATTTTTTTTCTATTTCAGTTTTAGGCAACTTCCTAATTATACTATTATTCCTATTTCAGTTTTAGGCAACTTCATAATTATACTATTATTATTATTATTCCTATTTCAGTTTCATATACAACTTCCTAATTATTAATTGTCTTTAGGACTCTTGTATTAGGCTCTATGTAAGGTCAATATTATTATTATTATTATTATTATTATTATGATTATGATTATTATTATTATTATTATTATTATTATTATTATTATTATTATTATTATTATTATTATTATTATTATTATTATTATTATTATTATTATTATCAATAAAGTACTTTTGCAAGAATTAATTTGTGTGTCTTGGCTAGGTAGGACATTAATTTAATTCCTACTTAAGATTTCAATTCTTCCGGAATCATAGATTCCTTCCCAGCCAAATACCTTCCCTCTGAATTCCTGAAACACTCTCGTTCTTTGATGAGGTCATTAACACATGTTCTTAACAATTTTTTCCTTCGTGTGTAGACTGTAGACATTGTGTAACTTGCAATAGATTTCTAGAATCCTTTCTTTGAGCGGCATTTTTTGTTATCGTATTACGATACATGTCTCTTTGTTGAGCAAATCTCTATCTCTACTTCGTTTGGTTTTGGAAACAGCTGAATTCAAGTCTGTTTGGGGTGAATGGTGGTCACGTGAACTGAAGAAAGACTTTTGCGAGAGACAAGCAAGCCAATTCCAAAGGGTAATATTTCTTACCACTCTATAAAGATTGAACACTAAGTCAACCTATCTTTAAGGGAAAATTGTCAAATAGGCACTCATATATAAGCTAAATGGTAATTTGGCCCTCTTACTATAAAAACATCCAATTAAACCCTCAAACTATCAAAACACACTCAATCGATTACCAACCACTTAACCCATTACCTGGTGATGTGACATGGCGTAAATTTTCCCCTGCCTTTTCACCAATAACCTTGTCTACCCACAAGGAAAGTGAAGCACTTTCTATTTAGCTGTGATCGGGAACCATGGCAGCCAGAACTCAACTTCTCCACCATTGGTGTTTATTCATTTAGCTGTAGATGTGCATCTGAGAGATTGTATTATTTCTTAGCAGTAAGATCCAATAAAAGTAAAATTCTGCATCAAATGAGTTTCAAACTCTATCAAATTGAGATAATAGAGTGCACAGAAAAATGAGGAAGAAACTAAAAATAAAGGGAAAAACAAGATGAAAAAACCAGAAGGTGATAGAGTCGTGTGTACTGATGGCTAGGGGAAGAAAGGAAATAACATAAAAATGTGATCGAGAAGAACAAATGAAAGTGGAATAATTTTTATAAAGGAACGAAAGGCTTGAGAAGGCAAAAATGCTTGAGAAGACAAAAGCCTGCAAACACATACTACCCCTTCTCTTTTAATTGCAATATTAGATTTTTTGCACTATTCATATATTCTACTTTGACTATATTTTATTAATTAATGTATTATAAATTAATTTTTTTTAAAAATATTGTTAAATTCTTCTCATTCTAATTTTTCAAAATATGAATTTTTTAAATTTTTTACTAATAAGGAATGAAAGATGTTAATGATCAAAATTGTGTGTTGCCAAACGTGAAATATTGACTGTTGCAATTAAAAGGGAACGGAGGAAGCATATAGAATGAGAGAAGGAACGAAAAGCACTTCGTGTTCCACTTCGACCTACATAATTCGACTTTTTTTCTTTTGGATTCGTGACTCAAATCAGAAGAAGACTCACATTCTTCTTCTACATCATCTTTCTTCCAACTCGACCGACCTTCAACCTTTATCACTAAAATCTTCTAAATCAGCTTCTATGGCCGCCATCAATTACTATTGAGAAAAGGATCATATAGGGAGGGTCTCAAACTTACATAAAAAGGTCAAATAAGGCCTTATATAGGATGCTCTGTCCGGCGACGTCATTTGAAGCGGTTCCCGGTGAAATTTTTTGATGAAAATTTGTAAGCATCTTATTCATTTAGTCTAGTTTTTTTTACTAATCCATTAAGTCTAGTTTACTCATACCAAATTTGAACTAAAATTTCAATCAGGAAGGCGTTCAAATGAATTCTTCAAGATAACTGCGTAGTTATCTTCAAGAATTTATTTGAATGCCTTCTCGATTGTAGTTTTAGCTGAAATTTGGTATTAGTAAATTAGATTTAATGAATAAGATACTCAAAAAAATTCATCAAAAAATTCCAGCAGGAACCGCCCCAAATGGCAGCGTCCGAACAGAGCCGCTTATATAAGCTCTTATTTGACTTTTTAATGTAAGTTCGAGGCCCTATTTGACCCTTTTCCCATTACGATCTACTCCCTCTGTCCCCTTATATTGTCCCGTTTTACCTTTTTGGGAAGTCTCACTAATATTGTCTCATAACATATTTGGTAAAGTTTGTGTGACTCTAAATCATTCTTACTTTATCAATTAATATCAACCACACAAACTCACTTTTCTTAATAATCGTGTCACCCTCCCCGTACCAATATAAAAGAGACGGAGGTAGTAGTATTTACTAGTACTGAAGAGCAAAGATAAAAAGGGGAAAAGCTTCCATGGCCGGTGTCTTAAGATTATTACTGAAGAGGAAAGATGAAAAGGGTAAAGGTAGGTGTGGATTGGAATAGAGGATTAAAATTGATTTTGTTTATAAAAAATATAAAAGAAATATAGCGAAAATTGTTTCAGCTATACTGTTCCTAAAAAATAAAAAATTGCCACATAGGAGTCCAGACGAGCATACTAAATGGCTAACTGGTTGCTAACTTTCTAAAACGCCAGATTGGTCATTTTGATAATTTGGGGGTTTGATTGAGTAATTCCATAGTACAAAGGCTTAGAAGCTTATTTTATTCAGATCAGATCAGATTAGAAAAATTCAGATCAGATCAGATCAGATTAGAAAGATTCAGATCAGATCAGAATCATTCAGATCAGATCAGAAAGATTCAGATCAGATCAGAAACATTTAGATCAGATCAGGAACATTCAGATAAGATCAAGAACATTCAGATCAGATCAGAAAAGTTAAGACATGATTTATCCCTTTTATTATAATAATAATTATAATAATATTAATAATTATAATAATAATAATAATAATAATTATTATTATTGTTGTTGTTGTTGTTGTTGTTATTGTGATTATTATAATTACTATTATTATTGATATTATTATTAGTATTATTATTCTTATTATTATTATTATTATTATTATTAATTTGATTACTATGATTACTATGATGATTATTATTATTATGATATTTATTATTATTATCATGATTATTATTATTCTTACTACTATTATGGTTGTTGTTGTTATTGTTATTAGTTTTGTTTTCGTTATTATCATATTATACGGAGTAATTACAATTAAAATTATAGAAATAAATATTATAATTATAATTATAATTATAATTATAATTATAATTATAATTATAATTATAATTATAATTTTAATTATAATTATAGAAATAAATATAACTATAAATATAATTACAATTATAATTATAGCTATATTTATAACTAGTGCAATACGTATAATAATAATTATACCTATTATAATTATGTTTATAATTATAATTATAATTTTTATAATTATGATTATAATTATATTTAAATTATATATGTGCAATTAAATTTATAATTTTAGTAATTATAATTATAATTATAATTATAGAAATATTCAAATCAGATCAGATCAGAAAGATTCAGATCAGATCAGAAGGATTCAGATCAGATCAGGAACGTTCAGATCAGATCAGAAACATTCAGATAAGATCAGGAACATTCAGATCAGATCAGAAAGATTCAGATCAGATCAGAAAAATTCAGATCAGATCAGAAAGATTCAGATCAGATTAGATCAGATCAGATCGGAAAAATTTAGATCAGATCAGAACTTAAAAAATTCATATTAGAAACATTCAGATCAGTTGAAGGGAACAATTTCGCTGTTTTTGATATAATACATGATCTATTCAGTCTATCTTTAGATTTGGCGAACCTCACAAGCTGCATTTTATTTTGAACATTGTTTAAAAGGCACTTTTAAGCCTTGAGGTGTTGTGCATTGGTGAGGTGAGGCACCACCCTTAAACTTTATAGTTTATACATGAGTAACATTTTTACAATTCAAAGGTACTTGTAATCTTAAATATATTATCAGCCATTCCCATGCATAAATATGAGTCATACATTAGTGTCACAACTCTCTCTCATATGTTTAACACAATTTAGATTTTTTTAATGTGTTATAGTTCTAAAAAAAATACTGGGGACTTGCTAGAGGGTCCTAACACAAAATCAGAACAAGTTGTTACAATAAGAAAATGGAGAATAAGTGGTTGGAGCTCAAATATTTACATATTTCGGAGCCTTTTGAATAAAAAGCTTGTTGGAAAGAAGAGAAAAATATTTGACAAATAGGTTTTCGGGATTTTGATAGGTTGAGTGACTGATTTTTGAAAAACAGTAGATCTATTTAAGACTTACTGTAATATATAATAAGGCAATATAAATCTTGAAGCTGAAAAGTAAAAGCCTCAGGCTCAAGCTTCATAATATGCCTCAAATGTCAGGCTTAAGCCTCTGTTCATTCGCTTTAGGTTTAAGTCTCAAGGCTTCTAGTGTTGTTACATTGTAATATGAGTCAAAACTATCCAACATCCGGTATTCTCCGACCTTTTAGTATTATTGTCGGATGGAAATATGAGTCAAAATCATCCAACATCCGGTACTCTCCGACCTTTTGGTATTGTCAGATTGAAATATAAGTCAAAACCATCGATCCAACATCCGGTGCTCTCCGACCCTTTAGTATTGTCAAATTGAAATATGAGTCAACCATCCAACATCCGATAGTTTACCATAATAGTTCTAACATGATGATGCATGTATAATTTGTATGGGTATATTGTGCCCGATTCCAGTCTCGAGTCTTTTTTGAGACCGCCTCTCCGAGCTTTTATTATTGTCAAATTGAAATATGAGTCAATAACCATCCAATATCGGACAGTCTAGTATAAACGTTTTGACATAATCATGCATGTATAACATGTATATTGTGCCCCATTTCCATTGAAAATGACTTTTCTCTGGTGAATGTAGAAAATATACACTTGCTTGTTTACAACTTTTATGCTCATGTGCAAGACTTTTACTCGGTGCCACACAGGAGTTTGTCATATGTAAACACATACACATAAACATAAAAGTAACGGACACACACATATTAAATGTGGGGGTCAAGAGTGATATGAGATTAAATATAGTTTCAAGAATGATTCTTTATCCATTGTTACAAATACTTCACTCAAAATGCAGAAGTGCATTGCAGGTAAAACATTGTATGCATGGTTTCGCATAATTGGTATCATCCATAGAGTGTGGAGGTTTATGCATGTGTATTCTGTGCTGTTTTGAGTCATGTTTTATTTATCACGATGTTTTTTGTTTTGTTTTGTTAGTTGGTGAATGGATTTCCTCCTGGCCATCCTGCCAAGGAATTGAATGACCTTCTCAGAACTACCGGTATTGTAGAGGATTACCGTATACTCCTCAAAGAGATGTGTGGCATTGGGACTGAAGCGACTACTTAAGTAATACTTCGTAGTATTACACGTGCTTTGCACGGAAATGCACCAATTACATATAAAATAATGTTATTTTACCATCTTCCCTCAGTCGTCTGTGTTTTAAGGAGTATGAACTTATGTATAAAGAATGGTAATATTCATTTAAAGAAAATAAAGAATTTGTATAATTAGACCATTTCTTATAAATGAAAAATGGTACTCTGTAATATTTATTTAAGATGTGAAAGTATATCTTTTTTAGTTTCAATTACGATGGAGAGTTGTACCATTGTTGAGGTAGAAAGTGTCGAACTTCCTATTCAATAAATGTGGATTTCCCAAGCTGGAAATGAAATTAAAGCATCAAACAAAATATTCTGTTGTGCAGCGTAGCCAATGGTGAAGAGATGGGGAGGGGGCAGGTAGGGGCTTTGGCCTTCCCAAGATAAAATTATAATGTACTATCTGTAAATATTTATAATAGGTAAATATATGTTAATAGTGTATTTTCTAAAGTGTAACTGCATAATACTATAATAGTACAAATGTTGAAGAATACTAATGTTTAATAGTAAATTGATTTTAGATTAACTGTGTAATAGTACAAATGTTGAAGAATACTAATTTTTAATAGTAAATTGATTTTAGATTAACTGCGTAATAGTACAAATTTTTAAGAATACTAATGTTTAATAGTAGTTATTTTAGATTGATTGCATAATAGTAATTGAAGTATTTTAGAATAGAAGGGGGTTAAGGTGAATAAGTTAAAGTTGGAGTGTGGTAACAAAGTGATTATTGATGTAACATTTTGTTAAAGTACAAACTATAAAAGTACATTGCATAAATTAAATACTACGTATATAAATACAAACAATTCAAATAATCAACAAATTTATTTTCAACACAATTCCTTTAGGGATCAAGGACTCCAAAAAATCCTAGTGGACGATAGCATTAGATTATGGATAGACTCCAAGAATCTCGCTTCTTCTCTTGTACTAGGAAGTTTTTCCATGAGATCCCTCACCTCTTTGATCAATAGCCCCCCCTTGGCTTGCACCTAAGGTGTCAATATTTTCACCCATCCTTCGAGATATACAGACTACAATGGCGGAAACAAAGATTTTTTTGAGGGGTATATACGGTTAAAAAAATGTTCTCATTAACGGTGTCAATAGTTACACTTTTAAATTTTTTCACCCTCTTTACCTAATTAACTGATGTATTAGTATATTTAGAATCATTTGAATCTCAAATTCAATGTAGAATAATTATTTATATTTTTCATGAAGTGACTCTGTTTCATACCTGTATATATACACGCTCAAGCGCAAGCATACATATACATAAGATCAACTTAGATATAAACATTTACTCAATTTCATACTTAATCTTCTATGCCTTGAAAAGATAATGTACTTTTATCAAGCGAGTGTACCAATTTAATATGTATATCATGTTATTTTAATATATTCAGGGCTTAAATTTGAAAGGGAAAAGGTGCAAATAGGCCCATGTACTAACCAAAAAAGGTCAAATAAGCCCTTATTTAGGAGGTTCTGTCCGGCCGTCATCATTTGGGGTGGTTCCTAGTGGATTTTTTTGATGAATTTTTTTGAGAATCTTATTCATTAAGTCTAGTTTACTCATACAAAATTTCAGCTAAAACTTCAATCGGGAAGGCATTCAAATGAATTCTTGCAAATAACTGCACACAGAAGAGAGAACTGCTCTCCTCCGAACTTTACCTTGTGGTCATGTTTAAGTTCTTTAAGCCTCCCTCTTTTCTTTTCGTATTTGTACTTGTTCCGCCCCCTCCTCGGAGAAGAACCATATATCCCAGTTTCAATTTAAATGCAAACTGCTAGATTTTTTTAATATATACCATTCAAAAGTTATTTCATTTTTATTGGATGAAATAGATTATAAAGTATTAAAATATAAAAACATTGTGATTCGTTTTGAATCTTCTGCAATTCTGCCATAGCCGGCGGTTGTTATTTTTGATAAAATAGTTTATAAAAGTAATTTTAGTGTACTTTATACAAATACTTTGAATAGCATAAAAATATAAAGCATGGTATAGCTTTGTGTGAATGGGATTAGTTTGGAAAATTGATTTTTCATAATCACTCAAATGTTCTTATGATTTCTTCGCTCTTGGGACAAATGAATAAATGATAGACTTTCTGTTTTTAACATGGCAACAAGTTTATTTTTAGTTGTGCTTAATCATGTATATTCTTATCACCTAGGGGTTTTATAAGTAGATTTGGTGATGTTATTATTAGTTTATGTATAATACTACGGAGTATATTTTTTCTTATGTTTTCTATATAAATTTTACTTTTGAATATATCTATAAATGCTTCTTCTCAAATCGGCAGAACTCTGTTTATAAAAAAGAATAGATTTGAGGCTTGAGTTTAATTTAAACAATTTAAGTGGTCGTATTTAACATACATATATGAAGCATAGATGTTTTTAAGTGCAACTCACCGAGAGATTTAAAAAAAAAAATCATTTATTATTTTTGTATGAAAATACTAAATTAAACATATTTGCTAATCAAATTATTTATCAGATTTAATTTAGTAATCATTTAAAATCGGCCAAAGCGTGATTTTAGCTTAGACAGTTTCGTGAATCAAATTAAACAAATGATAATTTTGATGCAGTGAGATTAGGGACAAGAAACTATCCTAGGATTCACAGTTGGGTTTTTTTATAAGATCTTCCATTACAAGATCTTGCACAGGGAATCAAGGATTGAATAAGAAGTGTTAATTATACACTAGCTAGATAGAAAAAAATATAGGCATTATTCATTATGAAATTTCTAAAAACTATTATAATATCAAGGATTGAATAAGAAGTGTTAATTATGCACTAGCTAGATAGAAAAAATATAGACATTATCCATACTCGATCCGTAGTTCATAAGTTCTTATATGATGATGATGATGATGATAGAATGAAAAATAACAAGTTTGTGCATACTCCAGTAAGTAACTTTTGGGCTTATGATATTAACAGCCAAGGAGTAGCATTTCATAATTATTTTTCGAAATTGCTTCAATTTACTGCACTCCAATGTTAAATGCTTATGTGATTAGTTTTCTATGGTTAATCATGAATTAATATTCTTTTGCCTCAACTTTTATTCTGTTTATTTCATCATCCCAACGGAAAATCATTTATGTATAATAATATGTGTAGTGAAGCGACAAACCCAAAGGCGAGTCGTTACGTGACACATATTATGACATTCTTATTTTTCAAGCCTAATTAATATGAATAATATATTTTTCCCAACGGTGACTTATAATATTCATATGGCGTAGTTTATTAAAAAAAATTATCCGAAACACTTGAGTATTGGACATAGCCAACGCAAATCCAACACTCAAGTAGCACCTTATTTTCGTCTATTTTGGTGTTATGATAGACTTAATCTTCAATATGCTGAAAATTGCTTACTTTATGTGATTGCCCTAAATGTTACATTTCACTTTTGTTCTGAATTTATATGTCCTAATTGCATTGATTCAACGACTAATTTAAGTCCTAATTATGGGATTAAACCCATGATCGACACTAACTTCGCGTCATGGCGAGATACTATCAAATTAACCCTTGAAATGATGAGTTTAATTAGACTATACCTTGAACAGTGGGATGAACAAATAGAATGCCTTTCATGGTCATAAATAATTACATCTCGATTGCCATTCGCAGAGTCATACCTGACTCAGAATATGCTTAAGAGTACATGGACTCTGTTGAAGAGCAATTTAAAAGCACTTTCAAGGCACATGCGAGTACGTACTTTGATTCTAAAAATGTTGACGACAAAGTACAATGGTGTGAGCGGTGTTCGTGAGCACATCATGATGATGACCGACATGGCCCATAAACATAAAGGTATGGACATGGAAATAAGTGACGGTTTTCTGGTGCATTTTATAATGACCTCTCTTCTTGCACAATTTGGTCCCTTTAAAATAAACTACAAAACTCAAAGGGAGAAATGGCAAATGAATGAACTCATAGCCATGTGTGTACAAGAGGAGGTGCGTTTAAAGATTGAAAAGCCCGATGTTGCTTATGTGACAACCACACACAGGAAAAAGGAAAGACAAGTTTAAAATCGGAGAGAGCTTAAAGTTCCAGAAAACAAATGCAAATGCGACTTTTGGCTCCATCGCACTTACGGGTTTTTTTCGTTGTAAGTTCTGCCGTAAGAAAGGCCATAACCAACGAGACTGCCCAAAATTCAAGGAGTGGCTAGAGAAGAAAGGTAACCATCTATTTATGATTTATGAGTCCTTTAATATTAATGTTCCCATAAACACATGGCAGGTTGATTATGGTTCTATGGAACATCTTACAAACTCATTACAAGGATTCCAATATACAATCCAAAAGTTGGAAAGAAATCAAAGAACCATTAAAGTCAGAAATGGTGATGATCTAAGTGTTGAAATCGTAGGAACTTTGCAATTAGTTATGCAAGGTGACCACTGTATTAACTTATATGATACTCTTTATGTACCGAGGATGACTCAAAATCTAGTATCTGTACAGGAATTAGACAATGATGGATATTACGTAACATTTGGTATAATAAAGTCACCATTAGCTTAGATTCCGACATTATTGGTCATGGTTATTTGGATGGAAAACTTTATAAACTTTACCTAGATGACCAATTCTTAAAATCTTTCTTGTCATATAATGTAAATGAGAACTCGCTTAAAAGGAAGCGAGACTTGGAAACCTCATCCATGTTATGGCATCAACCTTTAGGCCATATATCACGAGATCATATCGAATGCTAAGACTCGTGAGGAATGAAGTATTGCCAACTCTCGACTTCAATGATTTTGTGACATGTGTGACGTGGCTTAAAGGTAAAATGGAAAAGGAAAATAAAAGAGGTGCCACAATGATCTCTAATTTGTTAGAACTTATACACCCCGATATTTGTGGACCTTTTCCCGCCGAAATTTCTAGACATAAGTCATTTATCACTTTTATAGATGATGACTCACATTATATGTATTTGTATTTAATTAAAGAGAAATCTAAATCACTTGGCATATTCAAATCCTTTAAGGCCGATGTTGAAAATCAACTCGGCCGTAAAATAAAGATAATGAGATCAGATAGATGGGGTGAGTATTATGATGGACATACTCATATT